TTTTTCTTCCCCCCCCCCCCCCCCCCCCCGGACTTCTCCATGAAAGCCTGCCACGCGGATCGACAGCCTGCAAGCCGGCCAGCCAATACCGACAGGCACACGCGGCGGTTTAACCCAGCCAACCAGCAGACACGCTCCTCCAAGTGGAAGAAGAGATAGAGTGTGGCATGGCACACATGGGAGCCAACGGAGGCGGCGTCCGGCCCTGTGTCATCTTTTCTCGGTACTTGGCTGCAAAAAGGTGTCGTAATTGGATACAATTTTCCATTAAAATGAAAGCTGGAACGTGGGACAGAAGGGAAAAGAACAAAACATGGAAACCTAGGTGCATGCAACCATCAGCCAGGGCCAGCCCTCCAGGCACCGTGTAATTCGTGTAATTCGTTACGAGCGAGCAAGCCCGTAGACGGCGCCGCGTCTCCCCTCACCGCCGGCTGACGTTATCAGCAAGGTGAGTCTTCCAGTGTGCCTGGTGGGAGCGGATGGACACGTATGGATGGACGGATGGATGTGTGTACCAGTATGCCCGTGTGTGTGCCACAAACCGGCTAGACCACCTGGCCTTTAACATGAATGCGCCCTCCCACGCTGACTGCCCCAAACCTGCGGGTTGTGTATGCGTGCGTGTTATCTGTCTGTGCATATTTTGTCGATTTGGCAAGCAAGGGCATTGGAGGGTGGCAAGCCCGCCCAGCCGACAGCGTCCACTTCTCCAAAGCACGCGTTCATGGTCTTCAGGGACGGGGACCATCGGCCCCCAAGCATCTCTTTGTATCAACGGTTTCTATACGGTATTTGATGCACGTAACCTCGGGGACCGCCACTCCAGGTGAGCCACCAAGCCACGGCGCGGCGGCGGCGCCCGCACGCACATGCTACATAGGAGACATGCAGCTTGGGAGGCCTCGCCATCCCCGGGACGCTGCATCCGGGAGGATTGGACAGCAGCCCCCATCCAAGTCATGGCACAAAGCTGTCGGATGGGAATGGAAAAATGTCTTGGGGGGAGCGTTGGGTGCTTTTTAACCACCGCACCCCCCTTGCAAAGCGACCTCTTTTAACCCTGGGCGAGGGCAAATAGCGCCCGGGCGGACAGCGCCAAGCGGTTGCAGCGAGTGTGGACGGGAAGGGAAAGCGTGCGGCGGCGGCCCTGTCACAGTCACATCAATTAATCTGGGTTGGTATCTTGCTTGGGCTTTGATTGTGTGTATGCCGCTCATTGCTGTCTGGCCCCTGTCGCGTTTATTTACTCCATCTGCTTTCTTCCGCCTTCTGGGCATTCTCGTTCCAACAGAGCTGGGCATCCCGAGATTTGATGGCCGGTTGGATCGAACTGGTTTGGCCCCCCTGGAAGGTCTTCATGTTCATTGCCCAGAAGGTACCAACATTTCGTTCATCCATAATACAAGCGATATCACTCAGCACATGCTTGGGCAGCGCATCGAATATGACTCCGCCCCTAAAACACCACCGCGGCCCCCGTGAGTGTTTCCAATATCCCGCATGGAGGTTTTTTTTCTTCTTCTTTTCTCTTTCTTGCGTTTGGGAAACAATATCCGTTCCCTATGACTGGCGAGGACCATGGGCAGTCATTGGTGGGTTGTGCTTGGGGGTGGGCGGGACGCAACCACCAGGGCACCCGAGGGAGGGTAGCGTCAAGCTCTTGAGTGTGTGGGAGGGTGGGCTTGAGGGTTGAGACACGGGCTGACATGGCAACCCATTCTGCCCGTTTCTGAACCCGACCCTGTCGGCCCTGCCTGGCTCCCTTGTCTTACATATTGCGTGTCGATCATCCATTGTTCACTCACGTTTCCGAACGGAAGACGCGCTCCTTGAGGGGACGGGAAGTAAAAAGAGACCATGGAAGGGAATGAGAGAATGAATGGAATAGAGCATGGGCGAGGAAGCAGGATAGGAAATAAACGGACATGGCAGGTTCGCATTGTTGGAAAGTGTATGTTTGTAGGTACTTAGGTTGGTACGTGGTCGGACCTGGCCGCCCCCCGTTTCCCATGTTTTTACTCCTCCAGGCAAGACATGTGTGAGGCTATGGCGTGCGGCGTGCGTTGGTGACAGAGGGGTGAGGAGTGGGCTGGTGAATTTTGATGGAATGGCCATGGAGTGAATGAAGGTGATGAACACTTCATTCATGGAAGTCTGAAATCGTCGCTGTCATCATGATGGACTGATGGGCTAACTGAGTGACTCCTGAGTCGGGCGGACTAGGCCAGATGTCTGTCGTTGGCTGTGACGACAGCCCGCTGAGGGTTGGGTCGATGTTACTGCGACATTTACTGTCCATGCGAGGGAGCGCAGAAAGCACACACGGGCGGCAGCAGCAGCCAACCAGGGGCTCCACGATCAAGCCTTTGGACTCATTCGCTCGGCTCACCCAAGATATGCACCGGTTTTTTTTTTTTTTGACAGCGGGTGACTTGGAACGATGGCCAAGAGGTCAGGTCAGTAAGCCCTGCCACGCAATCAGGCCCATGGTGTGCTCCATGCGGCTGCAGCGAAGGTTCAAACGAGAGTTGGGGCGAGAGGGAGGGCAGAGATGGGCGGATTACCGGTACTTGGCGTGCATATTGCAGCGACACTATTCCTGCAGGCGCCCACCACTTTGGCCACGGGTCGACTGCCCCAGCGCCTCAGCTGCGCCGCAAGAGCTGCCCCCAGCCGGCTTTCGTGCCAGTGGGAGCTGGGCCTGGTGCTTCCCTAGCCAATCGCCCCCCCTGGTAGCACCCAGCCCACCGCTAGTCACAGTGGAGTTCCCTGTCAACCTGCCCTGCATCCCTGGCCCCTGGCCCACTCGCACTCCATCGCCGCCCGCCCGGCGACGCACCTTGCTGGGTTGTCTTTGGCAGTGTGACGCTGCAACAACCGGCACCCACTGTGGTGGTCAGCCTTTCAAGCCCACTTCCAGTTAATTACCACCGCCTGCCGCCCGCGACCGCAAACCCAGATCCACATTCGGTCGGGGCCTCTCTTTTCCCACCTTCATTCTGCCATCCCCATCCCCGCCATCGATCTTTTCTTCCCGGCCGAGCGAGCGACGAGGACGCCAAACAAGGCGAAAAGTTTTTGTCAAGATAGACTCAAATACGACAGGCGCCGCATCCCGTCGAACCCCGTCCGCCTCTCGCGCGAGGGGGACCTGGATGGAGCCAGCACGCAACGGTCAAGTCCAAGCAGCAAGGCCATCTCAGGCCGCCGCCGCCACACCGAGGCCATTGAACTCTAAGCCAACGCGGATTCTGACCCAACGGCACACAAACTGCGAGCGAGGCGCAGGATCCGGTGTGCGCCCCCAAAACCACGGCACCGCGGGTGGCTTTGGTCGCCCTCGCACCGACTCCCGACGGCTAGGGCGAATTCAATCCCCCGTAATTTCTCTGGCCTCCCTCCTCCACCCGGCCACTTCCTGATCCTCTCCCAAACGAGCACCACCCTCTCTCAGTGACGACCCCACGACCATCCCGGTCTGGGCAGCTGACCTCGCTGGAACCCATCTGCTCCCCTTTGGCGACGGCTTCGTCCCGCCGCTGTAAAGCCCAAATGATCACAAGATAGGCCCCCTCGGCCTTGCTTTAACCAGCAGGCAACGACTCCATACGCCGTAGGGCTCCGGCACAGCCCGTCTCGTCTACCGACGACCCCTCTTGCCGCCCTGCCCGCCGGCACTGTCCCCCGCGCCCCAACCGACACACGACTCCTGTCTTTTTGTTCTTTTCGTTTTTGATTCCAGCCATACGATACCCCTCCTCCGATGTTGCCCTTAATGCAGATGCACCCGATGGTGCCCACCCCTCCTCACTTCGACCACCTGCTCCCCGGCTCGAACCACATAAAACCCGAGTACCTGGCACTATGTCAACAGTCTCGCAACCCAATGTCATCGAATCCCTACGCGACCCAAAATGTCGGCGCCAGGCCATTCCCGATCCGGAGCTCGCAGCCCGCTCAGCCACCGCAGCAGCAGCAATCCCCTCATCGCGGGCCTAGCGCACCGTCGTTCGCCCAGAGCCACCCCCAGGCACTTCCCGATTACAGCCAGCACCAGCTGCGACGAAAGACGCCTAGCGGGACCATCGACGCCGGCTACGATGGCTCCCCTGCCGGTCTGGCCATCGGGCCCCCGCAGAAGCAGCTGATCATCTCGGCATCTCCCAAGATATTCCCGACCGCGTTCGTCCACAGCAACCTTCAAATGGCCGACGCGGTCAACGGCCAGTTGCATCTGGCTAGCAGCTGGCAGTATTCGCATTCTGCCCAGCGGATCGGCGGGGGATATGACGCCCAGCCGGTGGGATGGAACTTGGGACAGTCCCTGCAGCCTGACGGCGCGCCGCTGCCGGACAGGATAATGGCCCCCCAGCAACACCCTTCGAACTTGTTTAGCAACGACTTGCGGCTCCAGGGTGTCTTCACCCCGTCTTATCAACACAATATTATGAGCCCAACCGCCTTCAACCCAGCCGGATTCACTCCTTCACCTGTGTGGAAGGACCCCGGAGTGTCAGATTACCGTGGCCAAGTTCCCTTGTCCAATTTAGGCTTTATCCCACAGAATGCTGCCTTTGACGCCACATATGTGCCAGCTCAGAACTCCATGCACCAACCCATCCCAATGGGCCAGCAGATGCTTGGCGGCCCTGTCCAGGGCCACGCCATGCACGCCCCAATGCCCGGATTCGATGCGGACAATGGAGTACTCCGGCCGCCTCAGAACGTAACGCAGCTACCCCGCGGTGGACTGGAATCACTATCCCTGCGCGGCTCCGCCGCCGCCGCTGGCAGCCCTGTCGGCGGCCTCCCTATGCGCTCCGATATGTCGTCGCCTGCTCGCTTCAAGGAGAGGGTTCTTGCGCATGCGCACAAGACATATGCCGACCTTCTTGTGTACATCAGTTACACGAAGCAATCGCTTCCAGGGAAGACCATGTCTGGTCTCCGGACATTGTCCAAAATGGTCGTATTCCCGAAGCCACCCAAACAGCTGGGTCTGTCCTTGAGCCCTCCACGACACACCGCGGCGATGCACGCTCGCCACAGCTCGTTCGCCGGTGCCGAATCAGCCTTCGGGGCTTCTGGCCAGGCAAAGTTTGCGTACGCCGACAGGACGTACCGTGCCGGGAGCGGGAACCCGGCCGAGCTTCCCTCGCCGGTATCCAGCGCCAGGCAATCTCTGGAGATGCTCACAAACTTGTGTGAGCAGAGCGGGTGGAAATGGGTTGATGGAATGTTGCTTGGCGGCTGTCTACACTATGGTCTAGAACACTACGAGGAGGCTCTGGACTGGTTCAAAAGGATTACCAACCTCGACTCAAGGTACCCACCATGACCAATATCTTCCCCCCCTAGTTCGTTCCCGAGGTCCATACTAACCACCCCACTCGCAAAAGTCACGTCGAGGCCATCTCCAATATCGCCGCCACCCTATATTGTCTAAATAGACATGACGAGGCCGAGAGGCATTGGGTAGAGGCTGTGACCCTCCGGCCTGGCTACCTCGAAGCTGTCGAGCATCTGGTTGGGCTTCTCTGCTCGACCCAACGTAGCAGACAGGCGGTGAATATTATAAGCCGTGTTCAACGGGGTCTTCGCATGCCCGAACACGAGCCATCTCAGGGCGATGCAGCTTCCCAGAACATCCCACCGTCATCACAATTCGCAGAAGCATCGACCCAGCCAGGATTCGGTTCGAGCGGCTACATGATTCCAGGCAACGAGAATGGCCGCATGCTTCTGCTCATTCACGCCAAGGGCAACATGCTCTATGCCCTGAAGGACATCGAGCGCGCATCAGAGGCGTTTGAAGAAGTCGTCATGATTAGCACTGGCAGGCAAAATCGAGGCATACAAAGCTTGATCCGTGAGATACAGACGGTGCTCTCGCCCAGACCCAGCCAGCTAGGCATGCCCTCAACCACCGGGGCTCTCGTGCGCAGGCCTGTGTCTGGTCCGCTCCTCCTGCCACCTGACCGGGCAAAACTGACGGCGCGGTTTGTCTTTGGCTCGGCCAATGCCCAGCTTCCAGGGCTTCGATATGTCGGCGAGGGCGGCCATCGCAAGTCGGCCGTCTCCACGACCAGCAACTCCCTGCTTTCGCTCGCCAAGATATTCCAGGACTCCATGTCCACCGGCGGCATGCCACCGGGCCAAGGCAGACAGGCCTCGGGCGTCGGCGACATCCTCGCCCTCTACTACCTGTCTCTTTCGCTTCAAGAGAGCCCCTCGACAGCGAACAATGTTGGAATCCTCCTTGCAAGCGTACAACAATCGGCGGCCCAGATCGAGCCTCTGTCTCCAGAGTCGGCGGCCCTCGTAAAGGATATCCCTGGTATCGTGCGCGGCAGCGGGCTGGAGCTGGCACTACTGTACTACCAGTACGGCCTTACTCTAGATCCTCACCATGTCCACCTGCACACAAATTTGGGCAGCCTCCTTAAGGACATCGGACAGCTTGACCTAGCCATCCAAATGTACGAAAGAGCCGTGGCGTGCGACGGCACGTTCGACATCGCACTTACCAACTTGGCAAATGCGGTCAAGGACCGAGGCCGCATCAGCGACGCTATCATGTACTACAAGCGTGCCGTAACAACCAACCCGGACTTTGCCGAGGCCGTCTGCGGCCTGTCAACAGCTCTGAACTCGGTTTGTGACTGGCGGGGCAGGGGTGGCGTGTATCTGTACGGCGCCAGATTTGACCGGTGGCATGTCGACGAGCAGGGAATGCTGCAAGATGTCAGGAACAGTGGTCAGGGCAGCGGGCTGATGAAGCGAGTGGTGGACATCGTCGGGCGCCAGCTCCAGGACTCGGCATCATGGGGCGCGGGCACCCTCGGAGAGGCCGTCATTGCGCTGCTCGTGTCCCAGCTGAAAAGCTCGGGCGCGAAGCTAACCAACAGTTCGATGGACCTGGAAGCCGAACTGCGTAAGTGGGCGGATCAACCGTGGGAGGGCTCGAGGATCATCCGCCTGATCGAGCGCGCCACGCGGTCAGCGATGCGGACGTGGTACGTGGACAAGTATGTGAAGGGTCAGGAGGCGGCAGGTGGCTACCCCAGGCCTCGGCTACCCGGCAGCCTCACGATCCCCTCGGCACCTACCGTCCTCCCCTTCCACACCTTCACTTGTCCCCTGACGGCCAGGGATATCCGCACGATCTCTCAGCGCAACGCGCACCGGATATCGTGCTCGACCCTCCGCGCTCCCTGGCTGTCTAGCTCCGTGTATCCGCCGCCACCGCCGCCCCAGCCATACCTAAACGTCGGCTACCTCTCCTCGGACTTCAACAACCACCCGCTAGCACATCTGATGCAGTCCGTCTTTGGGTTCCACGACCAGACACGCGTCAAGGCGTTCTGCTACGCGACGACGGCGAGCGACAAGTCGATCCATCGGCAGCAGATAGAGCGAGAAGCGCCCGTGTTTCGCGATGTGAGCAGCTGGCCCCCGGACAAACTCGTCAACCAGATCGTGCGAGATGGCATCCACATCCTCGTGAATCTCAATGGCTACACGCGCGGGGCTCGAAACGAGATCTTTGCAGCACGCCCGGCACCGATTCAAATGTCGTTTATGGGCTTCGCCGGCACTCTTGGTGCGGAATGGTGTGACTACCTCCTTGCAGATGCCACTGCGGTGCCGCCCTCGACGCTTCGACCGTGGCGCGGCAACAACAGTCTGCAGGATGTGTTTAAGGATGAGGCAGTTGTGGACGATGGCGAGTGGGTCTATTCAGAGAACATCATCTATTGCAAAGACACCTTCTTCTGCTGCGATCATGCGCAGTCGGCCGATGTCGAGGACGAGCGGAATATGTCGTGGGAAGAGGAGCAGCGGCGGCGGTGGAAGATGCGCAAGGAGCTATTCCCCAACCTGCCCGACGACACCATCATCCTCGGCAACTTCAATCAGCTCTACAAGGTGAGTGACTTGCGGTGAACACACATGGCGTAGCGAAAGCTGCTCATTGCTGACGGGAAAACATGGCACAGATTGATCCGACGACATTCAGGGCATGGCTACGCATCCTGGCAGCGGTTCCCAAGGCCATCCTCTGGCTCCTCCGCTTCCCAGACCTGGGCGAGGTCAACCTGAAGCGGACGGCCAAGGAGTGGGCTGGCGAGCAAGTGGCCAACCGCATCTTGTTTACTGATGTTGCGCCGAAGCAGCAGCATATCTCGCGGGCCCGGGTCTGCGATCTATTCCTTGACACGCCCGAGTGCAACGCGCACACGACGGCGGCCGACATCCTGTGGTCTAGCACGCCGCTCCTGACCTTGCCGAGATACGAATACAAGATGTGCTCCCGCATGGCGGCCTCGATCCTCAAGGGCGCGCTGCCCAACTCAGAGGAGGGTCTGCGCGCGGCCTCGGACCTGGTGGCCGAAGATGACGTGGATTACGAGAACCTTGCCGTCAAACTTGCCAACGGGCTCTCGTACCAACTCAACGTGTTTGGCGGGTACGGCGAAGGCTCTGGCCGGCTTGCTGAGCTGCGACGGCTGCTATGGGAGAGCAAGTGGACCTGTGCGCTGTTTGACACGCGACGTTGGGTTCGAGATCTGGAGGATGCCTACGATGAAGCCTGGCGGAGATGGGTGGCGGGTGAAGGAGGTGACATTCACCTTTAGTTTCCCTATCTGCCTGTTCTGCGTTGAGTTTTCTTTGGAACGACTCCCCGAGGTCCGTCTAACAGCTATCGCGCCTTCTCTTGTCTGCCTACGCTTTGTTTCTCTCTTTCTACCTCTTCCACTTCTTCTTCCACGTGTATCCCACGTGAGCGCACATGCAGCCATCTGCTTGTGTCGCTTTTTGTTTCCATGCGTGCTTTCTTTCAGCAACCTGACGCCTCTCCTTTCTCTTCTCTTTTAACGATCATTTTCATATTTGTTTTCATTGCAGCTATATACCGTTTGAGCGGCATTGTGACGGGAGTTTTGGAGCTGGGCACACCTTCCACGTCTCCGGATGGAGAGTAGGAAGTGGGATCATGCGACTGGGATGGACAGGACGGACGAATGAATGGATTCTGGTCTGGGTTCAACAGAACTGTCCGGTATATCGTTTGCTTTTTTTCTCCCCTGAATTGGTCACAACACCACGCTGTCAAGGCGTGTGTCCTCGAGGCATCAACCGTGATTTCCCTCGATTCCGGTTTCCCACGAGCCCACCGCTACTTGCGGAAGAAGTCGCAAATAGGGGCGGTGACGCGGCTGATCGCCGCGGGATGGTAAGGAAAATGCCAGCAGCCCCCAGCAAGGAAGAAAAAAAAAAGCAAAACTGCGGCATCGATTCTCGTCTCTTTTTTGTTTTGTTTCCCCCCTCCCCTGCACGGTACCGTAAGGCGACTCTGTCCCTTATTCCCCATCTTTCTCAGCCTGTTCCTATTGAATTTTAGGGGATGGTACTTTTTTTTGCTTTTCTTCTTGCCTTCCGCCCCTGACATTGGTTGCTTTTTTTCTGTTTACTCGCTTTGCAGGCCAACCGGCAGGGGTCCATTTTCATGCCGAAGATGCTCAGCCCCAACCCATCCGCCCCATTATATCGCGTCCTTCACCTCTTTTCTACTCAACATATCTGACGATCTTGATCCCCAAGGAGGGAAGATAGGTCGAGGAGGGAGGGACGAATGCGGCTGGGAGCGGCTGATATGATCCTGGTCTTTACTACGCTGCCAATACTCGGTGCCGCCGTCCAATGAACGGAGCTGATGTGCCGGTCCTCTTCGATATCCCACCACACCCGCCCACACTGTCCGTCTCCTCCTTGGCTGGGGGGAGATGGTTGGCTCCGAGAGGGGAGGTAACAGGCACACTGGTGGTCCAAATGGAGGCCTGGAAGGACACCTCACCATACACACCCCGTCATGCTCCCCGGACGCTTCCTAGCAGGCGTCTCCTGTGCAAAAGTGAAAAAGTTGCGGTTTGTGCTGGCGTGTGGTCTACCTGTTGCCGCCCCGTTCCGTTTTTGAACCCCCTGGCTTACTCTACAACATAGGCAACAAGATATTATGGTGTCTATGCCAAGCGAAGCGTGCGCCTGGGAAGGGGAGGGGGAAGGGGGGAACCCTACTTGCCGCCTTCCGGTGCCAGTTGTCGTATTGGGCCGCCTACTTGCCCCGTCTCCCTCGCCGTCATCCTTCTTCCCTTTTCCCTCGGACAACCGGGCGGACGGGAGTGGCGCAAGGCCGTCGTCGTCCCGGCCGGGTCTTGTAGCTCTTTCTTTTTCTTCGTAGCTAGGTCAAGCTTCGTGGTATGCCCCAGGGTCCGGCCAGACACATACACGCACATGGGTAACTAGGCGAGCTAGACGGCCCCGGGCGCGGGGACGTCGGGCAACCAGCCAGGCCCCAGGTCCCTACTCGTCCAAGTCTCGCCCAGTGACAACGGGACAGATATGGTATAGGGGTGTGTGTATAGCATACTACGTCGGGGCGGGGATGGGTGGATAGGTAGGTAAGTGGCTGCTCTTGCACCCGGGGAGATGGCCCTCTCGATGGGGCGGATGGGGATAGACAGACAGACTAGATACCTTGACAGGCGAGGTGGCACGTCACCTGGCCCTCGTTGCCTCACCGCCGAGCACATTCACACGTACCGTTACATGAACCAGGTTCTTTTGCTTTTTCTATTCCACCTTTCCCGTATTTCTCTCCCTCTCTCTCTCCTCCAACTTGTCCGTCTCGGGTAGTCCGCAACACTGGGATGGAAGGGGGTGTGTGGGCGTGTACGTGGGGACAGTCGAGCGATATGTAGGTAGGTTTAGGTAGTTTGGGTTCATATGCTGCTGAGCTTGGCTTGACCTAACCACGTCCGTCATACCGAGGATGGAGCCGCTGCCTCTTTCTGTCTGTTCCTATCCCTCTCCCTCTCCCTCCCCACCTGCCTCATCGGTCGAGATCGTCGGGCAAAGCTCTGCTGGGGTGGGTTGAAAGCCTAATCTCGATTACAAGCATGGGATGCCTCCAATGAATGGGCTGTGGTTGCCGCCGCCGCCGCTGCTGCTACTGCCGTTGGGTCCGACCCCGAAAGGAGGCCCTGTATCCGTCCATCATGCCCTCTCGACGAGGATAGGGAGAGAGCGAGAGAGAGGGATGGCCACCCCCTAAGCCCTGCAAGCTTCCGTGGATCTGGTTAAGTGTGTGTTCGTGTCCGGAATCTTGCTGTTATGCTTCCCGCTTGCTTTCATTGATGCCCATCTTCTTTTTATTTTTATTTTTATTTTTTTATTGCTTTTCCTCTCCTTTCGTGTCTCGTTCTGTCTTGTTTCCCACTGCTTTCTTTTTATTATCCTGCGTCTAGGTTTGGCTTATTCCTCATTCTCGGTTGCCGCACACGCCCTCCTGCTCTACTCCTGTTCTTGCTTCTTCATGCCCTCCTCCCATCCATGGCTTGTCGTCTGCCACGCTTCCCTCTAGTTTGCCCGAAAAGGGGCAGAAGACTTGTTTTGTCGTCATACGTGGGAATCGGCGGGACACCTGCACGCAAGATCATGGCAAAAAAGAAAAAAAAAAAGAAAAGAACCACGCAGTGACGGAATGAGGCGGTAATCAGAGGGCACGGCTCCTCTCGCTTCCCTCGCTCGTTGGGAACGCAAAAAGCAAGGAAACAAGAGCCACTAGACCCTTTCCCTCCACGGGTCGGCACAGGGAAATTGCCGGCAAAAGAAAGAGAGACAGAGGGACAGGGGGGGGACGATGTTCTGGTCTGGGAGGTACCTAGGCGGGTCTGTACTCAGTGTATGGCATGGCATAGCAAGCATATCGACGTGCAACCGGCGGCGCTAAAGTCGGCAGTCCGTATCTTGTCTCCTTGGCTCACATCTCTCGCCCCGTCTTGGCCTTGCTCCCCTTCACTTGGGTTTCGACCG